TCCAGTGATAAACAGCATGAGCATCGATCTGCGCAATTAGGAGCCGATGACATGTGCCAAACAAGCCAGCGAGACTGACCACCTGATCCCGTTAGTCGCCTCTTACGACAAACATGGGTTACTGAAGGTTCATTCTAACCCGGACCTTCACGGGTAAAATTCTAGGAGTGCAAGACAGTAGTATCACGAAGTTTGCTTATATGTGTATCGCACTGATCCTGAGACGTCCATTAAACGTAAGCATTTCGCAGGAATACTGTCATGATTGTGGGGTGGTGCATATTCCTCGTCAGCCATGTTCGATCGATTCTCATAATATCGTCTCGTGTATATTGTCAACAGTACAAGTTTTTGCAATACACCTTTTCATCACCTACAACACCGTGAAATTCCATTTACGTCGAGCCTCGTGAATGTTTTGGTAAACAAACGAGTTGCTAAGAGATAGAATGGCTTGGGATACCAATGCACTGAATATGTAGGAACCGTCTCACTGTGATAATCCATATTCTTGTCCCTTGGTTATGCACTGAAAATGTATGAACCGTCTCACTGTCATAACCCATATTCTTGTACCGTGTTGATGCTGTGAATGTGTAGGGACCGTCTCACTGTGATAACCCATATTCTTGTACCGTGTTGATGTAGGGACCGTCTGAATGTGTAGAGACCGTCTCACTGTGATAACCCATATTCTTGTACCGTGTTGATGCTGTGAATGTGTAGGGACCGTCTCACTGTGATAACCCATATTCTTGTACCGTGTTGATGCTGTGAATGTGTAGGGACCGTCTCACTGTCATCACCCATATTCTTGTACCGTGTTGATGCTGTGAATGTGTAGGGACCGTCTCACTGTGATAACCCATATTCTTGTACCGTGTTGATGCTGTGAATGTGTAGGGACCGTCTCACTGTCATCACCCATATTCTTGTACCGTGTTGATGCTGTGAATGTGTAGGGACCGTCTCACTGTGATAACCCATATTCTTGTACCGTGTTGATGCTGTGAATGTGTAGGGACCGTCTCACTGTACCGTGTTGATCACCCATATTCTTGTACCGTGTTGATGCTGTGAATGTGTAGGGACCGTCTCACTGTGATAACCCATATTCTTGTATCTTGTCGATGCTGTGAATGTGTAGGGACCGTCTCACTGTGTCACCCATATTCTTGTATCTTGTCGATGCTGTGAATGTGTAGGGACCGTCTCACTGTGATAACCCATATTCTTGTACCGTGTTGATGCTGTGAATGTGTAGGGACCGTCTCACTGTGTCACCCATATTCTTGTACCGTGTTGATGCTGTGAATGTGTAGGGACCGTCTCACTGTGTCACCCATATTCTTGTACCGTGTTGATGCTGTGAATGTGTAGGGACCGTCTCACTGTGATCACCCATATTCTTGTACCGTGTTGATGCTGTGAATGTGTAGGGACCGTCTCACTGTGATAACCCATATTCTTGTACCGTGTTGATGCTGTGAATGTGTAGGGACCGTCTCACTGTGATAACCCATATTCTTGTATCTTGTTGATGCTGTGAATGTGTAGGGACCGTCTCACTGTGATAACCCATATTCTTGTACCGTGTTGATGCTGTGAATGTGTAGGGACCGTCTCACTGTGATCACCCATATTCTTGTACCGTGTTGATGCTGTGAATGTGTAGGGACCGTCTCACTGTGATAACCCATATCTTGTACCTTGTTGATACAAGGAATAAGTGGGCCCTCTTTTAAGGGGCCAGCAACGGTGGAGTGCTGTTTATTAAACATGTTGCACATCGGCGTGAAGCTGGTTCCCAGGGCTAACTTGTGATATCATCAGAAATGACCTGTCTTTAACAGGTTCGATGCCGGGGTGCTTTTAAGCCCGATTTGACCCGATTTACGGCAGTATTTCACGCTGCGGGTGTTTGTTATGTTTCGTACATCGACCACAGGGTTTGGTTGTTGCTATGGATCGAAAGCCCCCTGTCTTGGTTTTCACGTCATGTGCAACACGTGCTGGTGTCGTCACGTTTTCCAGCCCTTAAAGCCCCCCGAAGCTAAGCCGCATGCATGTGACGGGAGCCAAAACAGCTCAGATTTCATATCACAAGGGGTTTGATCTCTGCATTCCGCTTGCCCTAATTGTCTCACACCCGGAGAAAGAAACATATGCACGCATATCATATATGAAAATGTTGCCACGGGCATGAAGCACCTGAGATTGTCACGGGGTCGACGTGGGGCACCTGGTTCGACATCCACGTCCATTTTTGGCCATCTGTTATAGACATGTCTTTTTACCAAGAAAAGAGCCTTGTTCGGCGAGCATCATTTAAATGTCGCGTGGACGTTGAATATACACAACCCATTGACATGTTGGACATCCACGTGAAGCTGGTTCCCAGGGCTGGTTCCCAGGGGGCTAACTGGTGGTACCATCAGAAATCCTCATGTGCTGGTTGTGGTCCCAAAAGGTGGCATCCAGACGGCGTCACAACATCCTCTTCAAGCGACGGTTCGCCTCCTCCATCTTCGCTTGTAGGCAGAGACCGTCATGTTCCTTGGTTTTACACTCGGGAACAGACTTCCTATCACTGCTCTGGAGCCCGGCCGTTTCCACCGAAGGTAGTCCAGAAGATCCAGCAAGTCCTCAACCAGGTTCTGAGGATCAGTTGACGCCGACACGTCGTTCTCTCCCACTTGAAAGAAAACAATGCCCTGAAAACCTGCATCAAGGGCATCCACATCTGCTTTCATCCGAGCGACAGTCGCCCCTCCGATCCCACGCACGGAAGTGATGATGCCACGTGGTGGGGGACAGACTTGATCAAGTCGCCACACGAACCTATGTCCCAGGATGGCACAGTGGACTGGCTTTGAAACAGGACCTTTAAAAGGTGTGTAGGCCATGGCTTGAATGAAGTTTTCAACAATGATGTCTGACAATGAGTTGTGTCAAACAATGTTAGCACAAGTGCAGTGACGCTCGTATCTGACTGCTGGGTATATATAGCCCGGGTGATTGAAAAGTGTTTGTATTAAGCTCTGCATTGAGGTCACAGAGTCAATCATTCAAACCTTAAGCTTAAACCTGTCACGACTCACTCATCTCATTCACTTATGCGATTAAACAACCGATCAACGATTGGCGCTTTCAGTCGTAATTCCCGCCACTTGGTCGGCTTCCATGTCTCGCTCAGAACCTCTCGGCTTAAGCATTATAATCAAAACATCAGAGCAAAGTTTGTGTGCCCCACCCAAACAAGTGCCTCTGCAAACATGACACCAATCAAGGCTCATTTGAAGACAATGTTGTGAGTAAGAACTCACCATGAAGCTACTTTAGGAATGTAACTGTGTTTATCTTGTGTGAAGGTAACCTTTAGTAACAAACAATAAGAATTAAATATCACAAAAACCGACCGACTCAATTCATAGAACTTGATCCAAGTGTAGAAAATCACTTGAGCCAAGGATTATATTTCAGTTTCACATGCCCGACTTTACCTCGAGGTTTTTCCCCCTTTATTTTACTGGTATTATTAGTTCTTTGTTTCGTGTTGATATTGTTTATTTTACGTTTTAACCTTCTTTGTATTAATCCTTTTTAAGTTTATGTTATTGCGGTTTGGGTTAGTGATTTAGCTTAAAGAGAAGGCCGTAGGCTTTTAGTTTGAATTTATGTTTTTTCGGTTTTGGGTGAGCGTTTTAGATTAGAGAGAGAAGGACTTATTGCCTTTTCACGCTAATTTTATGTTATATCGGTTTGTGGTTAGTGTTAGTTTAGAGAGAGACGGTGTTAACTTGTACTTTTATTTTTGCATTCTCCATTTGTATGACGAACATGATCATGACGAAGCATTTGTGCATCACAGTCATATACCCACATGGATAACCATAGCTCACGAATTCAATACCCAAACAATTGCATAATGGACAGATAATTCAAACATGTCAGCAATAATAAATAATACGAAACATAAAACCTGGAAGGATACAACTTTGATTTCAAAGTCCGATTGCTGTGAAGGCGCAGTTGAGTCTACGTAGGAAGGTCGTCGTGGTGGATCAGATCTCTGTGATTTCTTCAGGTACTGTTGCTAATGGCAGTGGAGCTGCTACACGTGATGAACAACACATACTACACTTTACATCAACATGCATAACAAACGTCAGAAAACGTCATTGTCCGTCTGGCATGTCATGCCCTCGCGTTTACCCATCTCTGAGCCTCTGCCGAGACTCGAACTGGTTTTTACTGCGCCAGCTACCGTTTCGCCGCCATCCTCTCTCTCTCTCTAAGGGTCGCCCCTCAACTCCTATGCAACACCAGTATTTTGTCCTGCTTCGAGCAGAAAATAACCACCGTTTGCGCTTGCTTACTGCCAAGTCGCCTCTGAGCCACTGCCAAGACTCAAACTGGTTTGGGTGCGCCAGCTACCGTTTCCCCACCCTCGCCTCTCCTCTAAGGGTCGCCCCTTTTCGTCCTGCTTCCAGCAGAAAATCAAGACCGTTTGTGCTTGCTTACTGCCAAGTCGCCTCTGATCCACTGCCGAGACTCGAACTGGTTTGCCTGTGCCAGCTACCGTTTCGCCGCCATCGCCTCTCCTCTAAGGGTCGCCCCTTCACTCCTATGCCACAACAGCATTTCGTCCTGCTTCAAGCAGAAAATCAACACTGTTTGCGCTTGCTACTGCCAGAGTCGCCTCTGAGCCACTGCCGAGACTCGAACTGGTTTGCCTGCGCCAGCCACCGAACTTTTGCCGCCACCATCGTCTCTTTCACCCCTATGCAACACCAACATTTGAGCTTGCTTCCAGAAAATTCGCCTCTGAGCCACCTGTCAAGACTCAATGTGTTTCAGTTCTGCTACACCATGGCCGCATCGAGCATCTTCGGGAGAACCAATGATGAATAGCATGAGCAACGTCGCGCGCCGTTACACAAGCTCAGCACCAAGGCAACCCAAAGCTTGATCATGGTGGAGGTCGGAATTATCCCGCTATGCACTACCTCGGCTCTCCCATCTTTCCGACCTCCGTGGGCAGACGTGGAGGGCAGCGTCGCAATTTTCACATCGCCGTGCCCGTCGCATCGTCTTGCCCGGGGAACAAAGGAACAAAGGACCGTATCACTGTGCTCAGTGGGCTAGCACTATAACCCATATTCTTGTACGTTGTTGATCATTTTCAAGGGACCGTCTAATTATGCTACAAATATTCTTTTACCATTTTGTTGCCCTGAATATACGTCTTTGAGTACGTTTGCAATGAAAATACACGTCAGACGCAAACGTGTGATATTCAGACATCCGGTACAAGACTTCAGAATTAACGAAAACAACATAACACGTCCTGAAATAAACCATCAGCTGAAGCCACCGCTTTGCTTCGAATGGTCCTAATTCATTATTGCAATATACATAATCATGGTCACCGCCTCCGTGGTATAGTGGTTAGAGCGTCCGCCCGGAGAGCGGAAGATCGCGGGTTCGATCCCCGACGCGTCATACCAAAAGACGTTAAAATATGGTACTTGTTGGTCCCTGCCTGGTGCTCGGCATTAATGGGTACAACAAGGACTGGTCGGCACGGAGTCAGTATAGTGTGTCTGAGTGGGGTCTTCATGCTTCACTGCTATTTTATCCCAAATCATAGGGTAGGTAAAAAGTTAGAGGCATTTTAATGGAAGGTACCCATTGTAAAGATGATGTTCGTTTTATAGATACATCTGCACAGTGAGATAGATACAACATCTGTAATAAATGTTACATGTGTCACAGCATTATGAAACAAAGCACAGAATTACTCTCGTGACCAAGAAAGATTTCTAGTTGTAGAATATTACTATATAAGACAAAAGGCAGCCATGATGGCCATTTTTCAAATTGGCCGACATTTGGCAAATTAACCATTCCGAAAAGGGCTTGGTACATACTAATTATGACCTATGATTGCTTTTATATGTGTAATTCACACACACACCAGAGCAGACTTAGTGTATTTGAGTGTTTAAATAATTCCTTGATGTAAATCCAGTCAAGACGTAATATCTGTTTTTCATAAGAGACATTTTACATAATGGTCGCCAACCGTAACATCGCCATAGGCCGCCTTGAAGCTAGGGCGTCGCAGTCTGCAGTTGCCTGACATTTCAACGTTCATCAGAGCCCCATATATCGCCTTTGGGATTGTTTCCTGCAGACAAATTCCGCCCAAGATCGCCCGAGAAGCGGCCGTCCAAGAATTACCACCCTAGCCCAGCACCTCTATATCCGGGTAGCTCACTTGCGTCATTATCCCGCCACAGCCATTGAGACTGCACAACGCATCCTTGGTTTGAGAAGAATTTTCGGACCAAATTGTCAGAAATCGATTGCGTGAAGTGGAGATTCGACCAAGAAGGCCTGTCGTTCCTGTTTTGAGCGACTTGAATCGCCTACGGTGGTGTCGTAGAGTCCTGAACTGTAACCTTAGAAACTGGAGGCGATTCTGGTTCACTGATGAACTACGATTTCTTGTTCACCGGCGAGACAGCGCATTTACAGTCGGAGAATGAACGTTTCGACCTTAATTGCATCCGACAGATCGACAAATTCGGTGGAGAAAGTGTCATGGTGTGGGGTCGGATATCCAGCACACAAAGATCTGATTTATTGGTGGTTCAGGGGAATTTGACCGGGACAGATCGGGACATCAACGAAGTCCTCACACGTCACATGCTTTCGATTATGGACCGACAGAGGGAGCTGTTCCAGCATGACAACGCCCCTTCATATACAGCACGCGTCACGGTCCGCTACCTTGCCAATTCTAACGTCAGTGTCTTGCCATGGTCTTCCCGATCATCAGATCTAAACCCGATAGTACACCAATGGGATGAACTCGATCAACGCTTACGTCAACGTCAAAAACGCCTCAGGCACTTCCACAACTGGCCATTGCATTGACGGAAGAGTGTGGAAGTGTGGAGTTGTCCAATCTGTGCCGAGACGGTGCACCTTATTAAACACCTTATTATATACTGAACATCATTGAAAACGCACCACTTATAAAATTTCAGATTATCAAAAGCACGTGTAAGGAATTGATATTTTTGAGTGGATAATAACAGATGGACGACTGACAAAAACAAGAACACAGAAAAGACGCTCAATCATTTAAATGTTCCAGTCAGAAAGGATCAAACACACGTGGGGTCAAATCGAAAAGTCAATATCGCGTGTGACCGCCTTTTGCATTGAGACATGCAGTTCAACGTCTCCTCATTGTGTCAATAAGCGTCCGAATAGAGTTCTTGAGGATGGCATTCCAACTTCTGCAGTAGTGCAGCCTCAAGTTCCCGGATGTTTCGCATCTGTTGTCGCCGCGAAAGAAATGACCAATTTCGTCCCACAAGTGCTCCATGGGGGATACATCTGGCGACTGTGCTGGCCAATGAATAACCTGGATGTGTTGCTGGGCCAGATACTGCATGGAAAGTCTTGTTGAAAAGTATGGACATCTTGGTGGTGATTGAACACAGATACGATGTGATTCTGAAGAATCTGCTCACGGTAATAAAGGGCATTAACTCTTCCTTGACAGACATGAAGGCAGTCCTGTGATTGTAATTTATTCCGCCCCAGACCATGACACTCCCACCACCCGAAGGTCTGTCTGAACCAAACACTCATCAGCATAACGTTCACCACGTCTACGCCAAACACGTAATCGGCTGTCAGCATTACGTAGATGAAGACGTGACTCGCCAGTGACTACCACACCATGCCATTGTTGTAACCTTTACTGAAAATGCCTACTAGCCCACTGTATACGCTCATTACGGTGTCTGTCAGTCAGAGTTGGTCCAACGTAAGGACGTCGAGCATGGAGCCCTGTAGCGTGTAGACGGCGTCGCATGGAGTCAGCGCTGATGACCCCCACGTCAACCTTGAACTAGTGCAGCAGTCCGGACAGGTGGCAGTGTTCATTCGCTGATATGGACAAGGTCAATATGGCAATCCTGATGGAGCGTCGTAACACGATGTTGCCAAGGTCATTGAAGGTCGCGGGTGCTTCGTGTCTACTGATGTCGTCTGTGAAGCCTAACGATGGTGGAGTGGCCAAGTCCAAGTTGTGGTGACAACCTGAATCATTCCTAGTACACGTTCTCTTTCGCGAGGTGTCAACCTCGGCATCTCTGTCCTCGTTCCACAATCGTTAGTGAAGCAATGACAATCGGTTCTCATACACCTGCTTTTAATGTCACAGTCAGTAAGATTTCAGAATGGCTTTTTCATGGCGTGGCTGCATATTGATACATTTTGGAATTAAGAGTCATACTGTGGACAGGAATTTGTTTCTAAAGCATTTTTTCAACTGGACATGCCCTTCGACTTCATGTTAGTTATATTCATTGATCATTGTCATGCTGAAATCCATCTTGATGAAAATATGGACAATTTTAGACTGGTGCGTTTTCAATGATGTTCAGTATAGATACACATGCATGTATCATTTACGAAGACGAAACTATCATTTACGAAGACGAAACTATCATTTAGGAAGACGAACTTAGCATCTACGAAGACGAAACTATCATTTACGAAGACGAAACTATCATTTACGAAGACGAAACTATCATTTAGGAAGACGAACTTAGCATCTACGAAGACGAAACTATCATTTACGAAGACGAAACTATCATTTACGAAGACGAACTTAGCATCTACGAAGACGAAACTATGATATAAGAAGACGAAACTATCATTTACGAAGACGAAACTATCATTTACGAAGACGTAACTATCATTTAGGAATACGAACTTAACATCTACGCAGACGAAACTATGATATACGAAGACGAAACTATCATTTACGAAGACGAAACTATCATTTACGAAGACGAACTTAGCATCTACGAAGACGAAACTATCATTTACGAAGACGAAACTATCATTTGAAGACGAAACTATCATTTACGAAGACGAACTTAGCATCTACGAAGACGAAACTATCATTAAGGAATACGAACTTAGCATCTACGAAGACGAAACTATGATATACGAAGACGAAACTATCATTTACGAAGACGAAACTATCATTTACGAAGACGAAACTATCATTTAGGAAGACGAACTTAGCATCTACGAAGACGAAACTATCATTTACGAAGACGAAACTATCATTTACGAAGACGAACTTAGCATCTACGAAGACGAAACTATGATATACGAAGACGAAACTATCATTTACGAAGACGAAACTATCATTTACGAAGAGGAAACTATCATTTAGGAAGACGAACTTAGCATCTACGAAGACGAAACTATCATTTAGGAATACGAACTTAGCATCTACGAAGACGAAACTATGATATACGAAGACAAAACTATCATTTACGAAAACGAAACTATCATTTACGAAGACGAACCTATCATTTACGAAGACGATGCCATCATCTAAGGAGACGAACCTATCATTTACGAAGACAATGCTATCATCTAAGGAGACGAAAGTACCATCTACGCAAACGAAGGCATCATCGATGTCAGACTTCCATAGAGATCGACACTGGATATTTTTATTGTCCAGTGATATGGATTTGATAAAATTTTATTGATAATATTTGCTGGACCTGATTCGACTGAGAATAGTATACTGTATATCTATTGCTTATGTTTTGTCTTTCAGTCCCAGCGGCCTGTCAGGTTGTGGAGCTGGAAGGCAAAGACTACTACGTCAGCACCAGTAAACTCAACTGGAAAGATGCAAGTGATTCCTGTCGAGCAATGGGGGCCAAGTTAGCAGAACCGAAAACCGAGAAAGAGAATAACCTGATCCAAGGATATTTGGTAGTACATGCAGACTGTAAGTTTTATATATATAAATAGTTCATAATTTGGTCATCGAGCGAGGGAATGAGAAAAATTTTACATCCCTTTTGGCCCTGCCATAGTAATATCAAGTCAGAGGACCCCCAAATCCTTTTAACGCATTTTAACGACGAGTGGAATGGAATTCGGATTTTCAGCATGACGAGCGAACGCTTTCCCCACCAGGCTACCAACCAGGCTACCCACATCCCCGAAAGACATCGGACAATACTCAATGGCTGGAAGGATATGATTTATGTGTTTAAAAGAAAACGAAAGCTTAAAATAGTACAAAATTCTTAGCCTCGTTTTGTTACCAACGGGGCATGGAATGAGCGCTTTGGTTACTTTTAAATCGAGGATACTAGACTACTTTCCGTGTAATACCATCATTTATTAAACGAGTTAATGATCTGGTATAAACGAACGAAAGTTAAATAAAAATTGTATTTCATGGAAGCGAGTTTAATATTCTGTTTTAATGATAACTCTCCAACATAAATTGATAGAAACTGCATGCAGTGTGATGACTCTCAGCTTTCCGCGAGCAGTGGGTGCAATTTACGCTGGTCCTGTTGTCCCTGGCTAGTAAAAATTCATCATGACTACTAAATGATAAGTTTCCACTGGTCCTGGTAGCCAGTGAATTTTGTATTGATAGTTAAGTGAATATACGATTGTTATTTTGGACCAGGGAAGTACAGACAGGACCACTAATTATTGTCCACTCACAGGTCATGTGGTCTAGTGCGAAATTTTGAAAGGTTCCTTTCCCTGCCGCGAGTAAAGCCATGTCTAATACCGTTAGAAATATATTGCCGTACAAATATTACACAGCAGTATCTTCCACGGGCAAGTAATAAAATATATTACACAAACGTTCAGATCACAGGACTGACTGGGAGAATGACTAGGAGTCAATATCAGTGGTCACAGGAAAAGGTCTCAAATGCTTGTTGAAAGGAACCTCCTTAAATCTGAAGTATAAAGACCAGGGTCCCGAACCACAAAGCGTTCGTAGCGTCCTATCGTAACTATATAGTTTATCAATTAATTACGAATAACGCGATGATACGAACGCTTTGTGGATCGGGCCCTGGCCGACTTTTGTATCATTTTGTTGGGCAATAGATTTGCTTACTACATACCTGTACTGCAAAACAAAAACCACACAGCCACCCAGCACTCCCTCCTTCCATCAATCCCTCCATCCAATAGTTCTGCCTTTATCCACCTCATCAAATAATCCCTCCTCCCTCCACTCATCCATCCATTAATCCCTCCCTTTACCTCTCCCTGTCCATCCATCCATTCAATAATCCCTCCCTTTACCTCTCCCTCCATCCATTCATCCATTAATTCTCCCTTTACCTCTCCCTCCCTCCATTCATCCATTAATCCCCCCTTTACCTCACCTCCATCCATCCATTAATCCCTCCCTTTACCTCACCTCCATCCATCCATTCATTAATCCCTACCTTCACCTCACCTCCATCCATCCATCCATCCATTAATTCCTCCCTTTTTACCTCCATTAATTCCTCCCTCCATCCATCCATTCATTAATCCTCCCCTTTCCCTCCCCTCCCTCCCTCCATCCATTAATCACTCCCCCTTCCTCCACCTCCATCTATCCATTCATTAATCCTCCCCTTTACCTCTCCCTCCCTCCATTCATCCATTAATCCCTCCCTTTACCTCACCTCCCTCCATCCATCCATTAATCCCCCCTTTACCTCACCTCCATCCATCCATCCATTAATCCCCCTTTACCTCCACCACCACCCTCCATCCATCCATTAATCCCTCCCTTTACCTCTACCTCCCTCCATTCATCCATTAGTTCCTCCCTTAACCTCACCTCCCTCCATGCATCCATTAATTCCCCCTTTACCTCACCTCCCTCCATCCATTCATTAATCCCTCCCTTTACCTCACCTCCCTCCATCCATCCATCCATTAATCCCTCCCTTTACCTCACCTCCATCCATCCATCCATCCATTAATCCCTCCCTTTACCTCTACCTCCCTCCATTCATCCATTAATCCCTTCCCTTTACCTCACCTCCATCCATCCATCCATCCATTAATCCCTCCCTTTACCCCATCCATCCATCCATCCCTCCTTCCATCCTCCCCTCCATCCATCCATCCATCCACTCCATCCATTCCTCCATCCATCCATCCATCCATTCCATCCATCCATCCCTCCATTCCATCCATTCCATCCATCCATTCCATCCATCCATCCCTTCCATCCATCCCTCCATTCCATCCATCCATCCATTCCATCCATTCCATCCATCCATCCATCCTCCATCCATCCATTCCATCCATCCATCCATCCCATCCATCCATCCTTCCATCCATCCATTCCCATCCATTCCATCCATCCATCCATTCCATCCATCCATCCATCCATCCATCCATCCATCCATCCTCCATCCATCCATCCTCCTCCATCCATCATCATTCCATTCCATCCACCTCCATCCATCCATCCATTCCATTCCTTCTCCATCCATCCATCCATCCATCCATCCCTTCCTCCATTCCATTCCTCCATCCATCCATCCTTCCTTCCATTCCATCCATCCATCCATCCATCCACTCCATCCATTCCATCCATCCATCCATCCATTCCATCCTCCCTCCATCCATCCATCCATCCATCCATTCCATCCATCCATTCCATCCTTCCATCCATCCATCCATCCATTCCATCCATTCCTTCCATCCATCCATCCATCCTCCCACCTCCATCCATCCATCCATCCATCCATCCCTCCATCCATTCCTCCCTCCATCCATCCATTCCATCCATCCATTCCATCCATTCCTCCATCCATTCCATCCATCCATCCATCCATCCATTCCTCCTTCCATCCGTCCATCCATCCTTCCATCCATCCATCTCCATCCCTCATTCCATCCATCCATCCATCCCTCCATCCATTCCATCATTCCATCCATCCATCCATCCATCCATCCTTCCCTCCTCCATCCATCCATCCATCCATCCATCCATCCATCCATCCATCATCCATCCATCCCTCCATTCCATTCCATCCATCCTCCATTCACTCCTCCTCCATCCATCCATCCATCCATCCATTCCATTCCATCCATCCATCCATCCTCCTTCCATCCATCCATTCCATCCATCCATCCATCCATCCATCCATCATCCATCCATCCATCCATCCATCCATCCATCCATCCATCCATCCGTCCATCCATCCATCCATCCATCCATCCATCCATCTCCTCCTTCCATCCCTCCATCCATCCATCCATCCATCCATCCATTCCTGTCCATCCATCCATCCATCCATCCATTCCTTCCATCCATCCATCCATTTCTTCCTTCCATCCATCCATTCCATCCATCCATCCTCCATCCATCCATTCCATCCATCCATCCATTCCTCCATCCTCTCCATTCCATCCATCCATCCATCCATCCATCCATTCCATTCCTCCATCCATCCATCCATCCATCCATCCTTCCTCCATTCCTCCTCCATCCATTTCCATTCCATTCCATCCATCCTTCCTCCGTCCATCCATCCATTCCATCCATTCCTCCATTCCATCCATCCATTCTCCTCCATCCATTCTTCCTCCATCCATCCATCCATCCATCCATCCATCCATTCCTCCATCCTCCATCCATCCATCCATCCATCCATCCATCCATCCTCCATTCCTCCATCCATCCATCCCTCCTCCATCCATCCCTCCATTCCATCCATCCTCCATTCCTCCATCCATCCATCCTCCATTCCATTCCTCCATCCATCCATCCATCCCTCCATCCATCCATTTCCCTCCTCATCCTCCATCCATCCATTCCATCCATCCCTCCATCCATCCTCCATCCATCCATCCATCCCTCCTCCTTCCCCTCCATCTCCATCCATTCCTTCCATCCATCCATCCATCCATCCATTCCACCTCCATCCATCCATCCATCCATTCCATCCATCCATCCCTCCATCCTCCATCCCTCCATCCATCCATCCATTCCATCCATCCATCCTCCTCCTCCATCCATCCATCCTCCCTCCTTCCCCTCCCTCCATCCATCCATCCATCCATCCATTCCTTCCTCCATCCATCCATCCATCCATTCCATTACCTCCTCCCTCCATCCATCCATTTCATCCATCCATCCACCTCCTCCATCCTCCATCCTCCATCCACTCCCTCCCTCCCTCCATCCATCCATCATCCTCCTCCCTCCATCCATCCATCCATCCATTTCCATCCTCCATCCATTCCATCCTCCATCCATTCATCCTTCCCTCCATCCCTCCATCCATTCCTTCCATCCATCCTCCATCCATTCCCTCCTTTCCCTCCATCCTCCATCCATTCCATCCCTCCTCCTACCTCACCTCCCTCCTCCATCCATCCATCCATCCCTCCTCCTTTTCCCTCCTTTCCCCTCCATCCATCCATTAATCCCTCCTCCACCGCACCTCCATCCATCCATCCATTAATCCCTCCCTTTACCTCACCTCCCTCCATCCATCCATTAATCCCTCCCTTTACCTCACCTCCATCCATCCATCCATTAATCCCTCCTTTACCTCCACCTCCCTCCATTCTATCCATTACCTCCCTCCTCCATCCATTAATCCCTCCCTTTACCTCACCTCCATCCATCCATCCATTAATCCCTCCCTTTACCTCACCTCCTTCCATCCATCCATTAATCCCTCCCATTACCCTCCCTGTGTCCATCTATTAATTCCCCCTTTACCCGTCCCTCCGTCCATCCATGCATCCATTAATCCCTCCCTTCCATCTCCCTCCATTTATCCATTCATTCAACCCTCCCTTTACAACGTTTAATGGATGCCTTCCTCCATCCACCCTTCCAACCATCCATCCTAAGATCCAATCATTCATTCATCTGCTTTACAGGTGAGTCTTACTACTTCGGTCTCTCGAGTTCGGATGGACAGACGTTCCTATTCCAGGACGATCCATTAACGTACTATGGAGGTTGGGGGTCGGGGCAGCCGAGACAACTCAATTCCGCTGTAGCGTATGCCAAGTACCAGTGCAGCACGTACACGTGGAGCGTCAATGACGGAACCGCAAGAATTCGTTATATCTGTGAAATGCTGGGTAAGTGAGTGAGCGAGTGAGTGAGTATGGTTTTACGCCGCTTATAGCACTATTCCAGCAATATTACGGCGGAGGCGCCAGAAATGGGCTTCACACATTGTACCCATGTGGGGAGTCGAACCCGGGTCTTCGGCGTGACGAACGGACGCTTTAACCAATGTGCTACCCACCGGCCAGTCTCTGTATGAATATAGCCCACCGCCCGGAAATGCTGTGCAAGATTAACATTGACTGACTACGTTGAGTACGTTGCGTTAGCGTGGAGTGAGTGGAAATTAAAGATTTCGGTCTCTCGGGGTGAGGTGAGGTGAAATTGGGTTTAACGTCGTGCTTGATAATATTTCGCTCATTCGGTCTCTCTCGAGTTCGGATGGAGTGACAAGTTCTGTAGTGGCACAAGCATCGTCAAAGGACCATTGCCTACTAGAATATGTGGTTATACATTTACCCTTTTATCATAACAGTTGGTCGAACACTGTACTGGCATATCAATGAACTCATAGCATCTCCACAAATAGATCCGACAACGACGACATCTACAACAACAACACCAACACCGACTTCAGCTCCGACAGCAACACGGTCCACCATGGACGACACAACACCGTTGGTGAATGCAAGCAACAACGGGACGCTCCAAAACGTCTCCACAACATCGCAGTCGGCCATAAGTGAGTGTTCAACGACCAACCAATCGATCATGTTTTCTCATAATCGAACACAAACAATTCTGGAACACTTGTTGCATTAACAATGTCTTTCACACGGTTGGTTTTGTCTGTTACATTTCATGAGCACTATAAGGTCGTCCAAGTCATGATTTAATTTTTTTAAAGACCCCCAAGAAATTTATGTTCCTAACATACTAGTCATCCTTTAAAGGTGAGCAATTTGCTAAAAACACCAAAAAAAACCCAAAGACCTACGTGTTTTTTTCTTTATGTTTTTGTGCAAACAAACATAACCAGGAAAATCTGATAAATGATGCTAACCAATTATTTTCGATGATTGATCGGTTGTAATGAACCAATCATCAATTAAGAGATTTTAACCAATTCCCAACACTACTGTCTACAGTTGGGCGTTGATTTCGTACGCATTATCGTTTGTTTGTTTAACACCTCAATACTCCAGCTATATGGCTGCGGTCTATAAATAATCAAGTATGGACCAGATAATCCAGTGATCAACATCATGGGCATCCATCTACACAATTAGCATTCGATGACATGTGTCAACCAAGTCAGCGAGCCTGACCACCCGATCCCGTTAGTCGCCTGTTACGACAAAAAAACGGGTTGCTGAAGACAAGTTCGTATTGATCTTTAGTGGATAAACACACAATAGGATTTGTGAATATTTATTCAGTAATGTACTATATGTCTTGTATCAAACGAACCGAAAATTTCTTTTTCAGATTGGAAATCAGGTGCATGTCCCCTGGTCTTTAAGGCAGTGTCATTAACGACCCTGACAACGCTCTTATGCATCGTATTTGGTCTCGAGGCACATTTCTGAACGTGTAGCGCTTTCTCGAGACCAATACTACCACTTTACATTTTACATCGTCGATTAACTTGAGTATTATATGTCCATTCTAACATGATAAATATCATTCACTGAACGCAACCATTACGTACTTTTAAGTCTGGTTTGAATTAACTGACTGACTGACTGAGTTTGGTTTTACGCCGCTTTTAGCAATATTCCAGCAACATCACGGCGGGGAACACCAGAAATGGGCTTCACACATTGTACCCATGAGGGGATTCGAACGAGCCAACGCTTTAACCACTAGGCTACCCCACCGCCCCGGTTTGAATTAATACATCGACAGTTGCCAAATATGGTTTCGCTGTAATGGCGATAAAACATGCAATCTGATGTGTGCACTTTGCATAGACACTTACATAGTACACAGGGTTTAAAGGCACGATATCACACAACACTTCTCTAAAAATAAACTCAACAAGACTAAGTAACAGCCATCAGGGAAGCAACCATATAATTTATTCAAAAAAGAATTACGTATTTAGATTACAATATTAAATTAAAAAGTTCGAATGAATTAATGCAACGTTGCATTAAATCAGCTCTTGCTGTCGAACATTATTTCAAGCGAGCCCCATTGACTTATGTCCCTTGGAGCGCCCTTTTCGAATAAAACTATAGTTAATACCTAATGTTATCTTTTTTATCTGGGCACATACCATTATTGTCAAGGGTAAAGGTTAATTAAGCCTTATGCAACCAACCTCTTTTGGGAAGTCTGTCTTATGGGAGGTCTGTCTTATGGGAGGTCTGTCTTATGGGAGGTCTGTTTTATGGGAGGTCTGTCTTATGGGTCTTATGTCTGTCTTATGGGAGGTCTGTCTGTCTTATGGGAGGTCTGTCTTATGGGAGGTCTGTTTTATGGGAGGTCTGTTTTATGGGAGGTCTGTTTTATGGGAGGTCTGTTTCTTATGGGAGGTCTGTCTTATGGGAGGTCTGTCTTATGGGAGGTCTGTCTTATGGGAGGTCTGTCTTTATGGGAGGTCTGTCTTATGGGAGGTCTGTCTTATGGGAGGTCTGTCTTATGGGAGGTCTGTCTTATGGGAGGTCTGTCTTATGGGAGGTCTGTCTTATGGGAGGTCTGTCTTATGGGAGGGGAGGTCTGTCTTATGGGAGGGATGGGAGGTCTGTCTTATGGGAGGTCTGTTTATTCTGTCTTATGGGAGGTCTGTTTTATGGGAGGTCTGTCTTATGGGAGGGAGGTCTGTTTATAGGGGAGGTCTGTCTGTCTTATGGGAGGTCTGTTTTATGGGAGGTCTGTCTATGGGAGGTCTGTCTGTCTTATGGGAGGTCTGTCTTATGGGAGGTCTGTGTGTCTGTTTATGGGAGGTCTGTCTTATGGGAGGTCTGTCTTATGGAGGAGGTCTGTCTTATGGGAGGTCTGTCTTATGGGAGGAGGTCTGTCTTATGGGAGGGAGGTCTGTTTTATGGGAGGGTCTTATGGGAGGTCTGTCTTTATGGGAGGTCTGTCTTATGGGTCTGTCTTATGGGAGGTCTGTCTTATGGGAGGTCTGATGGGAGGTCTGTCTTATGGGAAACTACTCTGTAATTTAACAACCAAGGCAGTTCTACGTTGCGTTTGTTTTGCGAGTCCTCCTCTTGTAAAAACAAGTCGACTTGTTGACAATACATGGTATTGCTTCGCGTGAACAAACATACAAGAAAAGACCAAAGACGTCAAATTTGCAATTAAACATCGCTAGAAAAGATTATTTACCTATTCAGTTCTAATTTGTTTTTGCTATGCATTGTCTTATATGCAGGGATTAAGATTACCGTGTGTAATTGTCTCGTTTACAACGCCGGAAATAGCAATCAGTTGTGCAGTGCACACGTTCCCCTACCGGTGATTTAGTTAAAACGTACCGGATAATACACCGAGATGAATTGTGATGCAGTGATCTTAAAAAGATAGTATCTGAAACTATTGTTTTATACACAGAAATATATTCTGGTATTGTGTCATTTTCATCGCAGGTTGTGCTCTATAAATGTAAAATATTTATGATCATAACTAAGGTTATGCGACAGCTTTTTGGAGTATTGACGGATAAATTTTATGCATGGAACAATTTAACTTGTCACCGATGAGGTTTCGCGCGATGCGCGATGTCGCTACACTAATTTCCACTGTATGTATCCAAAGCACTTTGTTAGACGAAATGTGATCGTCCAGCTACACTAATTATGACTTTTGGCGAAACAAAATATGTATGCGTATCCATTTACTGTCATCTACACTTCATGTCGAGACGTGAGTAGACGCAATATGTTAGTGATTGCTGTGAAGTAGGAACATTGTGTTAAGGAACCTAGCCAGGAGGCTAGAAATCTTGGTGTCATGTTTGACTCCACACTCAGTGCTGAATGCCATGTAAGCCGGATCTGCACAAAAGCTTTCGTTCTCGAGGGTTCTCATTCAATTGTGCTTCATTCAATTGTGCTTACCTTGTAATACAAACCAATAATAGCGATTTGAAACTTTTATCCTAAGTTGAATAAAATTCTGAGATTTAAGTGTCCAATTGGCAAGGAAAATTATGAGGATTCGCAATCTTAATTTCACTTTATTTGATTTATTTTTTTTGTTTAAAGTGAAATTCATCGGTACGTTTTCACTGCAAACAGACTATACGCACAAATCATGACTGAAACCAGTTCTGCAAACACCGACAACACCGCGTGCGACAATTTTCGATGTACGGAGCAACTGTTTACATTCTATAAGTGGCAAGTGTTCTCTGTATTGAAGCTGTTCTGTTACGACGTAAATTGTAATAAAACGTAAATTGTAATACTTGCAGCAAATTGTAATAACCCTTGGCGTAAATTGTAATAAAAATTGACATGAATTGTAATACGCAAATTGTAATAAAAATCGACGTAAATTGTAATAATTTTTGTTGCGGTAAAATGTAATAAATATTTACGTAAATTGTAATAACAGTTTTAATCATTCGTAAATACGCGTGTGTTCGTTTTTCATTGCATTTCATATATCATATAAGCTTGTTAGGACGATAACTCAAGAAAGAATTGACTAATTTTGCTTAAAAGTAGTACCCAGGTGCGTTGGAGGACGTGCGGACACCAATTGAATTCGGCGACCTTCAGATTGATAAATATACTTATGGAAAATATAATAATAATATTCGTCCTGATAAATAATCGATATAAAATCTCCAACTGTCCTCTCGATCATGTTTTGGGGGCAAAAATCTGTTGAGGTTTTGATATGTAAACATATAGAGAGGGGGTATTCTAACGGGTATATCTAACACACTTAAATGCATGTGGAGTTGGTGGGTGGGTGGGGTGTGTGTGTGTGTGTGTTCTGATGGGTATAATACGTGGGGCGTTCAAACTGTAGTCAGCCTCACCTAGAATATGATACAAATGCAGCTGTTATGTTTTTATTTTTCTACATATTATCTGTCAACCTCAAGCATATTTGTTTTGCTATGTTCCAGCTTCACGATCCCTATTTGGTTGACTTTTTATCTTGGTACTCCCCCAAAACGCAAAATCTGCAATACATGCATCACAAACTTCAGGAAACAAAATGTGCAAGTGAGCGAGTGAGTTATAATTTTAAGTCACGTCGGCAATATTTCAGCCATATCGTGACGACAAAAATGGTATATACTAAGTAGAAGTACATAGACTATTGTATACATTTTTTATTAACACTATTAAAGCAAAGGGCAGTATAACGACTAGATTGCCACACATTAATAAAAACTACTTTGAGTTCAGTGTAAAATGCTAAATCTTTTCAAAATAACAATCTAAAATTGGGCTATAGATCGCCACCAACTGAAGGTAGATCACCATCCTGGGGACCATGGGGACTTATGTTACCTTTGCTACCTGCATGGTCCCCAGCTGGATTTATATCATCTCCTCAGCTGTTGGCGACTTTTGAGCAATTTACCCATGAAATTAAAACTACAAACATTCTACGATTAACATTCTGGCAGTGATCAACAAACATTGAACGATGTGTTCTTAAGTACCCTCTTCGGAGGACAGGGCGGTGGGGCAGCCTAGTGGTTAAAGCGTTGGCTCGTCACGCCGAAGACCCAGGTTCGATTTCCCACATGGGTACAAAGTGTTAAGCCCATTTCTGGTGTCCCCCGCCGTGATATTACTGGAATGTTGCTAAAAGCGGCGTTAAACTAAACTCAGAGTTGAGAGAGAATGGTTGTTGCATGAAGTCACTCGCCATTGTCGCACTTTGCTGTTTCCTCTGAAGACTTAACCACACTTATTGTTATATCAGCTACATATTTAAAAAACTGTTGATCTAAATGAAATACATATCTGCTCTCTTTAATATTTCAGTTACACTATGCATATAAAAAGTGTATAACTTTCCATGGTTCATGTTCAAGCTCGTGCTTTGAACCCTGCCCCTTTGTTTGTTTATGTACAGTAAATTTACAGTTTGCAACATTCTCATGCAGTTTATACGGTTAATCTCAATCGGATACTTGTCACCCACGCCCACGGGGTAGAATATGTCTTCAGCAACCCATGCTTGCCACAAAAGGCGACTATGCTTGTACTAAGATGCGACCAAAGGGATCGGGTGGTCAGGCTCGCTGACTTGGTTGACACATGTCATCGGTTCACAATTGCGCAGATCGATGCTCATGCTGTTGATTACTGTTGAGTTACATAACCTAGCTCACATGATAAATAACAAAGTGTTGAGAGGTAGGCCAAGGCCGTTGAATATAAGACGACTTGAATATAAGACACTTATAATATAAGTGATTGTGTAGGTATGTTTACGATACGTGTCATGTTAACCTAGCCGTGTTAACTTAGCCGTCTTCGGACGTCATAATTCACGAAGTAAAATAGACTGCATTTCTAACCGGAACTATTGTGGCGATACATTACGGTTCAGCCTCATGAGCAACAAGAAAAGCGACACAAGCATTACACAAATTTTCGATGTACATCCCCACCCGGGACCTCTTATTCATACTGACCTGAAAATAATTCATGTGAATGTTAGAAGTTTGAGAGAAAAAGTAGATATATTAGAAATTGAGTTGGGCCCCCTATGATGTAATATGTCTGACCGAAACATGGTTACATTCGGCGATAGATAACAAAGAAATTAATATTCCGTGTTTTTATGCGCCATTTCGTAAAGATAGAGAAAGCCGAGGCGGCGGGGTTGCGGTGTATGTTAAAGATAATATGTGTGCAATGCAAATAGATGAATTGGATATAACTGGGCTCGAGGCAATATGGATAAAACTTAAATGTAAGAAACAAACATATCTAATAGGTACATTCTATAGAGCAGACAGAAGTGAGTGAAGTATAGTGGGATCTTATTAACAACAGCATTGCAAATGCCGTGGATTTAAATATGTATACTATCATTGTAGGAGATTTTAAGTGAGATCTATTGAGCGAAAATAAACAAAAAACTTATAGCTTAAGAGCTGCATATTGACTCAAGCAACTAATATCTGAACCCACGTGGATCTCT